CTCACTCTCTCACTCTCTCACTCTCTCACTCTCTCACTCTCTCACTCTCACACTCTCACACTCTCTCACTCTCACTCTCACACTCTCACTCTCACTCTCACTCTCACTCTCACTCTCACTCTCACTCCCTCATTGGCGGGTTTCCCACACTGGTCGACAACCTCACTTCTCGTAATGCCACACTTGTCACCTCGCTCACTTGTCATCGCTGCACACAAGAACTCATCCCTCATCCGTCGCCTCCGCTAGCGACATTCCCCGCACAATAGAGCCCTTCATTCGTTGTATTACTCGTGTCGTTGAAGATAAATATCGCCTATTACTTGCTGTCACTGCGCTGCACTGGGACCAGACAGTCGACATGTGGCTGGCAGAGAGTGCATCAGCTTGCTCTGGTTGGTCGGTGTTGTATGGATCTCTTCCGGCCATTGGTCGGAGTTCTATGGGTCCCTTCCTGCCATTGGTTGAGGCAGGATGTTTTTTTGGGGTTTGGCTCTTATTGGCTACAGCTTTGTTGACACTATCGAACGATTACTCTTACTGGACACTTGTCTTTGGCTAGGTTTGTATGGTATCTTGCTGTCAATGGTTAAATTTGTGTTGTGCATTTTTTATTGCGTAAAGTTTTGTTATCAAAGTTGAAAATACAAGTTTCCTTCTTCTAATCGGGCCAGATCAATATTTGTTCTCATTACGTTGAGGTAGGTTTTCGTAAGTTTAAATATGCATTTAACATAATACTGTAAATCAATACTAATTTCAGTAGAGTCCAATTTACTCATATCAAATTTAAGAATCCTATTCTAGTGTATATCTGCCAAGTCCCTTTGAATGTATCCACAGTCCAAATAATATCTTCGGTATGATATTCGATTCGTGGAAAATATCGCGACATTGGTGTTATTCCATTCAAAATGTGAAAGGAAGAATGAGTGGTGAGAGGTCGGGAAACGCAACGAGGACTGGAAAAGGATTTGAAGTGTTATCTGCCTCGCCAGCGTCCCGGGGGCACATAGTCCGGGCTGGAAAACTCACCCGAGGGAAATTTTTATATGAGGATTCCTGATCGTGTAATTTATAGTTAAAATATCTTGGGAGAGTCGGGTGTAACGCGGAAGTGAATTGTTTATAGGGTCTTTAAGATATTGGCGGACTATAAGGGAGAGGGGAGGCAGATGAACTTGTTTGTTTCAGTATCTAACTTGCTTGTTTCTTTATTATCCAGCTTCAGCTCTTGCACAGTGTCGGTGGTCGTGTAATACAAGGACTCTCGATCTGTGTGACTCCTGTCATTGTATATGGAGTGTCATCTTCGGCTGTCATCTTCATGTTATGTCAACGTGTAAATCATTTTACTTTTGGAATCTTGGAGCTTCGTTCACCTCACCTCGACTCTAAGTCCATTACATCCAGCGGTCGACCCCACAGACGCATTCATAAATTTTTACATGCTGTTCATTCAAAACAGGAATTTTCTCAAATATAAATTAATTTTATAATATATCAGCATATTGTGCATATATTGGCATAAGTTAGGTTAGGTGTTTAGGTTCTGTTGGCGATTATTTGTATTTGTAGTACGTGGGTGAAGCAGTTATAGCGTTGTGGTTCGAACAAAATTCGTCAGTGAAGCAATTGTTCCGGAAGTGTTCGAACGTCATCAGTTGTGAGTCGTGTGTAAACCGTTTTTCATTCACAAACAGCTGGGGTTTGGTGGGTGCATGTAATCACTTTTGGGTCTTTGTTTGCTGGACGGGATGATTCAAGCGTTATTAATGTGTATCATTTAATGATTCAGTGTCTGCCAGGATCAACTTCAATATTATATGTGTTTATAATGTAAATAAATTAAACTTTAAAATTTAAATAAGAACACTCCCACAATCTTTTAGAGATTATTTAAACAATCTAATGATATTAATTACATTGAATACGGGTGTGAACTATACAATCTATTAAATAAAATTATATCTGCTTAGGCTTATCTTGATACACAAAACACTTTCACATTAATAAAGTATTGCAATAAAAAAACTTTATGACACAGGGCAATAACATTACTCTTCGGGTGACATGCATAGAATAACAAATATTGTCTGTAACATAAGGTCTGATCATTTTAACTATAGTACTCTGGCGATGTTCCTGGGAGCATAAATGGAAGCGTCTTGTCGTACCTGTATGTTTGAACCAACGAACCAGTTGATGAATGATTCGTATAGTGTATTTCCATCGTTATTGAATTCGCTAAGAAACGTGCACAATACTGCGCCATGATAACGAAGGTGTCACACTGCTCCATAAGCTTGAGCTATAGTTTGGCTAATTACCGAGTGATTAACAATGTGCAACCTGTCATCTGGGCCTGGCCAAGCGTGAAGTCGGAGCTTGTGGGTTATACTGAGTTTCCACGCCACCACGCCGGCCGATGCTAGTTTACCTCTTGTGGGGTCACTACTGTGGGGGTCACCATGTGAGGGTCACTGCTTGCGGGGTCAAAACTTGTAATGTCATCATAGGACCGTTCTCTGCGAGACATATTTGAATAATATAAATTGATGCCTAGTCTCTATTGCCCCGTAATATAGGGTGTTATGCTCCTTGTTCTCCTGGATAGGATGTCCACGCCCCATGTGGACAGATAGGATGTCTATCCTCTGTTTCCTGCTAGATTGGCTGTCCAGCCTACATGTATTGCTAGGTAGGAAGTCCAGGCCGCGTGTCCTGCTAGATGGGATGTCCACGTCCCTTATCCTGCTAGATAGGATGTCCAGGCCCCGTTCCTGCTGGATAGAATGTCCAGGTCCCGTGTCCTGTTAAAGATGACGCTGCCAAGCCCATTTCCCTAAAGCCTCGCCTTGCATAAAACCTGCTCCATGAACTCGTAATTAAAATCCTCCCTATGAATAAAACATACGGAACACACAATAAACAATAGAACGGCGTCCAGTTCCTGCAAATGTCATATGAAACATGATCTCCTATTGAGCGCAACAGGAGTCAGCACTCGCTTCAGTGTAGCTGGCTAGCATCGTGAAGCGCAGCCTCACATCATCAGCAAGGAAGGACTGTAATATGTGGTTTGATGTTTAAGATTTGCTACCTGGAACAAAAAGTTCCAAGTAGCACGGGCTATGGTGAGCCCGTAAGAATGTAATATGCATAAAGTGAGCAATTTAAAATAATCCTTTGCAGGTCAGTCGTGCATCCGTGGCTTCGAGTTTTTATTGATTGCACTATTTTGTTTAATGAACTCGCACAAATACACTGTGGTCACAAATCGTGGTTACAAATACGCTGTCGTAACAAATACAGTGGTTGGGAATAACGGTTCAGGGGTACTGTATATCCTGGATAATAAATCTGCTCATGCAGTTTAAATTAGTTTTTTGTTTTTTTTCCGCTTGAACGCTGTTTTCTGAGTTTTTGATGCTGTTAAAATGTTAAAGCTACACGAGCAAGAAAAAGTAGTTGATAGCTCTTGCATAACTTTGAAAATGTTGAAAAATATGGAAAAAAAACAGATTAGTTAGCCTAATCATGTTTGTTTAATGGTCGAAAAGTTTTCATTCACACACTATTATTTACTTGTGGCAATATCAGCTCTATATTGCTGCTAGAGCAATAACCCATGCAATATGCTGGCCACATCTGGCTTGACTGTTATCACTACCACATAACTGTCTCACGCCCATGCCCTGCTTGTATATTAGTATTCAACAATAACAGAATTTTTACAATTGTACCTTTGAATAGAAGCGCATATTTACTTCAGCTGTGTCAATTGAGAATTTGTTCGTGCTTTTAAATATGCCATAGTAAAAACATTGTTAATATTAATATAAATATTCGTGTTTTTAAAAAGTTCTCGAATTTATGGTAATAATTTAAAATCAGGATTGTTTGAACGCTCCTCATTACCAACTAATTTCCAGGTATTTCTATCATCGGCCATTTCTGTAAGAACGGCTCATCCCACTTGATACTTTTATAGTACCATCTTCGTAAATGGTTAGGGGTAGAGAGGAGGGAAGGGGGCGTGCGGCTTGCTTCCTGATGTTTATCCGTAGTGACTGTAGCTGGGTTGGTTAGGCTTGTCCCGGCAGGTGATGTGCTTGGGTGTTTTATGTCTGGCAAAGCAGCAGCGGCAGCCGCCTTATAAATCTTTGTAAGCTGAAAATTCGTTCTTGGATATTTTCAGTATTTTGTGTCGTGTCTGCACTCTCTCCTCGTGGCTCAGCTCTTATTCTGTCCTATTTCATATCCCCAGGTCTTATCCTCTACTCATTCATAAATAGGTGTTATCCTGTCCTCATTCATATCCAGGTCTTAACGTGTCCTCATATCCCAGTTCTTATCCTGTCCTCATAACCCAGCTTTTATCTTATCCTCATTTCGCTGCTCTTTTTCCTGTCATATCCCTTCCAAGTGCTACATAATCATACTGGCTTAGCGCTCTCTCCTGATAAGTTACCTTTCACGATGTGTTATTATACTTAGTTGTCCTGAAGGGTTTGGCGGTAGGAACTCCAGTTTCTAGCACACACTATATATCTATTTCCCAGTCTCTCTCTCTCTCTCTCTCTTACCACAGCTCATTTTAAGGCATAATCCTGCACGTTTTGTCCAGAACTCTGTGTCCCAGTTTTTAAATCGAGTAGTGCAGAATGTTATTGATTTCTTGTCAACAGAACTGACTAACCCTTGCAATTGTCTTCTTGCTCTCCTCAACACTTGTCTTTATAGTCATTGAAAATGTTGATTTCATTTTGTATGGGGGACTTAAAAGAGGAAAGTTGGCGTCACGGATGATGGTAAGCAACAGCTTGTATGTATTTCTTTCTGTAACAATAATTTGTATGGTAATGTGTTGTCCCACAGCACGAGCTGGTGGTGGCGGCGGAGGCGGCCACCACAGGTGTGTGTGGCCACCACAAGTGTGGCCGCCACAGGTGTGCCTACCACAGGTGGTGAACAATAAACAATGTGTCGTCCCACAGCACGAGTTGGTGGTGGCAGCGGAGGCGGCCGGGAGGACCGTCCACTCCATGGTGCAGGTGACGGTGGCCGACGTCAACGACAACGCTCCACACTTCCTCCAGAGGGACATCCAGGTGGCCGTCGTCGAGGAGGACGACCGCCACCTTCCCGCCACCATCTTCAAGGTCAGTCAGCCATCTTCAATAAAGAGTTGAAGGCTTCGAACATGTTTTTAAAATTATGAATTTTATCTGAAGCACGCGGCTTGAGGAGTGTTTGAAAAATTTCCTCTTTTATATTCAAACATACATCATAGGCGGTTGTGGCCTATGTGAAAAATCAGCTAATCATGCATTTCAAATTATACCGCATTGCAGAGGGGGAGAAGCCTATGAGACATAGATAAATATTGACCACTGCGCGATAACTACCATTATCTTCATTCAAATAATTTAGAATAATTTTCTTATATCATAATATATTGACAATAGTATTCTACGTAAAGGGATTGTGGATTAATGTCATAACTAGAATGTGTATATGTGGAATGTCAATAAAACATCACTTTATTTCACATCTGGATCGTCATGAAATGGAAAACTATTAGACTAAAATATTATTGAAATACAATTTACTATAAATTGTCAATACAAATGAATTACCTTACCAGTATTATTAGTAATTACTAACTATGAGGTTCTATTAATGGAACCTAATTATTAGTATCCCAGACCTGTATTAGCTCCATACATATAGAATCAAATATATAAACCTAGCGGTGAACGGGAGAGACGCGGGCCGTCTACCTCTGGCGTAACCAGAGTTCAGGACAGAGGGATACTTGCTGGCTTCTCAGTAAGCTGTTTAACGTCGATTGGAATAAGGGTAGAAGGGATTTTTGCGTTCATGCTGACCAAGATATATTGACTAGACCACGAATCGGTTCACTTAAAGATATAATCACTGGAGGACTAACTCGGGACAGAAGAGATTCCAGTAGCAACAGGTGGACCCATTGTGCAATACACACCATCAATAAATTCGATATAACAAATACAATTACTGAGAGAGGCGTCGACGAAATACATGCAGGCTTCGCTATGTAAGCCCCTTGGGAATTTTCTACCAGCAGACTGTAAGATTATAGCTTTTGAAGGGAAAAAGAACCAGACTAATCCACATATGCTGCGTAATATTGACCAGATGCATATAGGAGGAAACTTGGCATCTGACAGCTTCACATACTTCACAGATGGCTCAGTAGACCAGCAGGGACAAGAAACTGGAGGTCAGTGAAGGCAGGAAGTTGGAAAAATTTGTAGTTGGAGACTCAAATGGGTGTTCAACTTTACAGAGAGAGCTGCTAGCCATTCAAAAGGCGTTGAACATGATCTTGCTGAACACCGACAACATGTTATCTATCATACATACAGATTCGAGAACTGCCATAGAAACCTTGCAACAAGAACACATACGTGATAACATCCTTCTGATCACAAATTTCATATCATTAATGCAAACACTCAAACGTCAAGGCCGTCGGGTCCTTATTAACCGGGTGCCAAGTCATGTGGGAATAATAGGAAATAACATTGCAGACGAAGCTGCAAAACTTGCAACTAAGAAAAGAAATGTAGACATTTACATACCACAGAGTTTATTACATATTAAGAAAGTAATTAGAAATAGAGCAATGCAAAAGATGTTACATACCACAGAGTCTATTACATATTAAGAAAGTAATTAGAAATAGAGCAATGCAAAAGATGTACACAGTGACCACAACACAGCAGTCGCATCCTCAGGATCTACGGGTTGATACAAGAATTCATCCAACTACGAACCACTTAGTTTGATGAACGGGAGCAGTAAAACAACAGAAGTACTTACATGGCATCAGGCTTGAATACCCATGTGCTTGGGAAATAGGCTTATAGGTTCTAGAAGATGAGAGGATATGTCAGCACTGTGGAGAAATGCCCGACAGACTACTGGAACATTATCTAACACAGTGCACAGTTACAAACCCAATAAGATTTCAACTTAGATTCAACAGAGCAGAAGAAGTTGTTAAAGACATGGAGCATAATCTTACTGAAGCGAACATATGAGTTTCGTACATACGAACTTCCAAGTAAGTTCAGTAGAACTTTCAATTCTTTTCAATTCTTTTGACCATGTTGTAGCTCAGTCGATAAAGGCAGTGTCTGGGATGCTCTCGGACGTAGGTTCGAATCCTCGTCACAGCCCTTGTGGATTTGTTCCCATGTGGTCATAATTCTTGGTGTCACAACTGTTGTGCTCACAACACTTGTTATCGTAATGAACTACAACAGCATTTGTAGACAGGGAGACGCAGGCAAATATCTACCAGGCAAACCTATATTAGCCCAACATGTTACTCATAAAGAAAACAAATTGAAGGATTGTTATACACAACTAAAAACCTAACACAAAAAAAAAATGAGATTTCTCTTTGTCTCTACGTGGTCGATTTTAATATCGGTATCGCACTTTACACTGCAGGTGATTATAACTTATATCAAACAAATGTCCATTAGTGGGAATAATTTGCAATAATGTAACATTTAAAAGACATATTGTACGCCACTCGTTAGATAAGTAGATACAATATGATAGCTAGGTTTTCCTAGAAAATTCCATACTGTTCTCGCCAAATACACCTATGATAGATAGCTTTGAGATGATGTGTGACACAATATATATATATATATATATATATATATATATAATTATTTACTAGCTCTGATTCGATTACAATTGTCATAATTGTAGCTAGTATTACATGTGTATATGTATGTATAGTTGGCAGAACTGCAGATAGGAAGGATTTTTTTTTTTGTCTACAGAAATTGCCTCATTGGTGAGGTTGCACAGTAGGCAGCAGGGCACTCTGGCCTCTTGCATAAACTAGCCAAACAGAGTGCTGCATGTGAAACTTTTAAAGAGCCACTTACGCATCAGGGGCCAGATTCACGAAGCAGTTACGCAAGCACTTACGAACCTGTACATCTTTTCTCAATCTTTGGCGGCTTTGTTTACAATTATTAAATAGTTAATAAGCTCCGAAGCACCAGGAGGCTGTTTATAACAATAACAACAGTTGATTGGCAAGTTTTCATGCTTGTAAACTATTTAATAAATGTAAACAAAGCCGCCAAAGATTGAGGAAAGATGTACACGTTCCTAAGTACTTGCGTAACTGCTTCGTGAATCTGGCCCCAGCACACCGCTCTTCGTCGGGCATTGCAACAGGTTGTCTAGACATGTAAATTTCTTTGCTCGAGCCTCTCGGTCAAGGGGTCGACAGTAGTGCAGCTGAGGATAAGATTTTTTTTTTATATAAGAAATCGAAGTTCGTGGCGGGTGGGGTCTTGGTGAGTTAACTCGTGTAACATTGTACAAAAATTGACGTACTAAGCAATTAGATAGTAGAACTTTGTACTAGTCACTTTATAGGGTCTGAAATAGTCCTCATATAGCGTGTATTAGGCCTAGGAAGGTTTGGTTAGGTAAGTTTAGTTTATCTTTGCAACATAAGAGTATGTATTTTCTATTTGTGTCTGCAGAATCGAGCTATTAGCTCTTGGACCCCGCCTTTCTAACCAATCTATTTTTCCTCTATTATATCTACTACATATATTTATCTCTAACACACTCGCGCACACATCCCCAGGAAGCAGCCCATAACAGCTGTCTAACTCCCAGGTACCTATTTATTGCTAGGTAACAGGGGCATCAGGATGAAAGAAACTTTGCTCATTTGTTTACGCCTCCGCTGGGAATCAAACCCGGGCCATTAGGATTTCAACCCCCAAGTGCTGTCCACTCAGTAGCGAGGCCCCTCGCTGCGTGTGTGTGTGTGTGTGTGTGTGTGTGTGTGTGTGTGTGTGTGTGTGTGTGTGTGTGTGTGTGTGTGTGTGTGGGGCGCCCCCAGTAACGGCCAAGAGAAAGGCAATACGAGGGAGCGAAGCCTAGTGACATTGACTGACGTCTGGTAAGGGATCCAGAAGCTGGTGAATGGGGCGGGGGGTTAGGAAAGTAAATAAACTGTGATAAAAGCATAAATCGAGAATGGAATGGATAAATGGTAGAGAAAGGGTGGGGAAATGGAAGAGTGTTTTAATCATTGTTAGCAGAAAGAGAGAGCACATTGATGAATGGTGGGACCGGAGGCGGTGTTTGGCAGCCTTTATACTGGGGAAAAATATTGCCAGAGCTTCGCCTGCCCGACTGGCCTTTTAATTTCTTGTATTGGTAATGTGTGGGTGATGCCGCTTTAACGCGCAGGGCTGACTGTTATAACCCGTCGGGTCAGACTATTCTCTTTATACCACGTCGCGTTTGGACGTATATACAGGCCAAAAAGTGACGTACTGGACAATGGTTGCGGGCTCGAGAAATTGACTTAATGTCCCGTTTTCTGTTCCTCTGGTAGCTAGCTAGGTTAGGTTAAGGGGGGCACTTTAGTACGCTATTTTCTTGACGTTGGGAACACTGGTGAGAACGGAGCTGGTCAGGTGTGCAGGTCTGGTGCTCAACTCTGAAGAGGAGTATGCGGGCACATAACCCCTACCCCCCACCTAACACACACACACACACACACATATGCATTAAACATTCTTTCGTGAATTGGTGATTTTTTTTAATTTTACAATTAATTAGACAAAAGCGAGGCGTGGAAGTCAAAATGGAAATGGGCAGGGAAACAGTGCTTACCTCTGCAATATTGCAGATATCAACGCTCCAGTAGCACCGAAGAGCAATAGAAACAGGTCAATCAACGTTATCCAATTGACCAGTGCATTATCCAATTAACCAGTGCATTATCCAATTAGCTAATGTATTATCCAGTTGGCTTGTCTATTATCCAACTAGATAGTGTATTATCCAATTGGCCAGTGCATTATCCAATTGGCAAATGTATTATCAGTAGGCTAGAGTATTATGCAACTGGCTAGTGTATTAATGATAATACATTAATTAGCTAATGTATTATCCAATTGGGTAGTGTATTATCCAGTTGGCTAATGTATTATCCAGTCGAAAGGAATTATTTCAACAAAAATTAACGTACAATAGGCTGCTTGGAGTATTCATTAAAAATCGATTAAAAACTTGTAAGCGAAACTGAACGTACCAATTTTATATAGCAGTCACATCC